ATGGATTTCGCCGGGGGAAAAACGGCGAGGTCAGCGGGGGGGCAAAGAGAAAAGGCCATAAAATTGCATAAAACGGCGAAAGAGATGCCGGACCCCCAAATCCCCCCCCCCCCCCCCCCCCCCTTCCCCACTAACCAACCTCTGAACAGCGGAAAAACGGAATCAGTCGGGATTAATAACGTTTAGGAGGTTAAATAAGGGATAAAGGAAAGAATATCATTTTTGAAACACTAACAGACAGTTGACCCCTACCCAAAAGCACTCCAGGTTGGTAGGGGACTGTTTGGCTGTTCAAAGACTAAATTTTAACTTCAAATTCTAATTGCTAAAAATCTTCACAAAATCGTCACACCTTTTTACTTCTCGAGATTCTACTACCCTTTTGAGAAAAACTATTTCCTCCCAAAAAAACCCAAAAATCATCTAAAAATTCACATAACACCTCGAAACATCAATCTATCGGATGAGCAGAGGATTTCTGCATTGCTTGAAACGCGAGCAAGAATGTCCATTAAATCCATTTTAAGTGGCGGTAAAACGACTTTCACGTTGACCACCACCTTAACTCAGACAGGGTCAATTTTGAATCGCGTTCTTACCGTGCAGGTAGCAAAATCAAAGGCTTCATTCAGGGAAACTTTCTTCTCCATGACACAATCTCAGCTCTATGACAAGGGATAAGTCAATGCCAACAAATACATGCGCCAACACCATGTGCCCCGAGTACGGACTCACTTTGGACATAGTAACTTCCCGTATTTCAGATTTCTACAATCTTTTAGCGGTGCCGGAGTGAATGGTTCCTTTGCTAGGCCGTTTGCCACAACACTACCATACGCTAATGAAATTAAGTACACTGTGAAAAATTGCAGTCACTTAAGGCTTCATTTAAACTGTTTGGAAACCAGTTTAAGCGGTACAGGCTTCTAGAACGATTGAGGCCCCTTTACGTTAAAGCGATACGGGACACTGGAAGAAAATGATATAGGGATATGAGATATCAGAAATTGTATTATGGTATATTCATTCGTCAATATAGGGACACAAAATTACACAATTGAGGGGATGCGGGATGTCTGAAGAGAAAATCCTAACTAATGCTCCACGAATGGATTATTTTTGTGCAAACACTTTCGCTACGAGTCCACAAATGGGGGAGCATTTCTATTTTTTATGGCTTCAATTGTTTTCGTTAAACATAGAATGACATTCCTTTGTTCTCATTTCTCTCTTTATACCAGCCGCCTACCACACACCTGTGGACCGTTTTATTCTCCACAAATGGTAAAAAAATTGAATTGAAAACAGTGATGTCTAGGCTCACTCTCTTCCCTTCCCTTGTCGCCGAGATAGAGGCCCAGGTACATTAACTCTTTACAGGGAGAGGAACCTGAGAACGAGATTAACTGCTTTATGCAGAAAGAGAGAGGGCCCTGGGAACGACATTAATTGCTGTGCACAGGACGAGAGAAGACCCTAGGAACAAGGCTTCTTATCTCTACTGAGAGAGAGAAGCCTAGGAACAAGGTTAATTACTGTATACAAGGAGAGAAAGGAGCCCGTGAACGAGATTAACTGCTGTGTGCAGGGAGAGAGAAGACACTGGGAACGAAGCCTAGTGCTCTCTATTGGGAGAGAGAGGATCCTGGAAAAGGTGTTGCGGGAATCCGAAATATGTTCCGCAGATGAGCAAAGGCGTCAAAAGTGTCCCCACCAGTTATCCGTTTCACAGCGTTTTTGTAACCGGTGGATTTCATCGGGATAAAAAACACGCAGTTTAGATAATCATCATCGCATTCATCGTATGAAACAAGAAAAACATCTAGTCATGCAAAAATACTCAGATGATAACGACAAATATAAAAAGTACGTTACGAGTGCGGGAAATGCGTTGAAAGGTTTGTATATTAGATAACCTAAACACACTTGCATCACGGCGACAAACTAAACATTTTTGCAATCCGATTTGCAAATGTAATATGTAAGCCAAGTATTGGTTGCTCTGTAAATGTGTGATATGGTTTTTCAGCGGCTGCCCTTAAAAGTGCAGCAGAAAAAACTCGATTTCAATGTCTGTAAAAACGTTATCAACGTGATCAGACATAGAATACCAGGAAACACCTCAACCCTACTAATATCAATGACACAATACTTTATTTATTCATTTATTTATTTATTCTTCTGAAATAAGACCTAAGACAAAACCATGCACAAATTGATAGTATTTGTTCAGTAGACTACAAGGACAAGTGAAAAAGAAGGAAGGAAAAGAAAACATAAGCGCCACAAAATAATTTGCCAACGTTTTTTTTTATTCCTCCGAACCATCTCTCGTAACAGCTATCGCTTACTTGAATTCTAGGAGACGATTTTTGCGACGTGCGCTAGAAGGATTAGACAAAACAGCTTTTCGATCAATAAGGGGGAGCCTTTCCTCTCAAAGCGCACAACTACAAATCGTTTTCAATGGACCACTTCGACGATGCAATGCAATATCAATTATTTTACGTATTCTCGGTTTTCACTCACGTGAGAAAGCAGAAATAAAAATGGAAACCTTTTAATACAGAAAGTCTAGAATCTGGGAAATGAAAGAAGATAAATATACAAAACGCCTTGCCAAGAATCAGGTCTATGCAATAGTTCATATGCGAGATATTCGGAAAAACGTATTACCCTTATTTAGAAAGCTTTGTATGGAGACGCCATGTTTGTGTCCCTTTCAGGGGTACAAATATGGCCGCCGGAAACCAACAGAGACATCTGTTTTTGAGTTTTCCTACTTATGCGTGAATTCTTCGCTTGAGGAACTCATAAAGATTAAAGCAATATTTATTCTAAGACAAGGAACGTTTAGATGGCAAAATCTACAAAAATCCGTAATGTTTTTAACCCACTTAAGAGCTTCGGCCACCAGCCAAATGCCGCGTCACGCAAAAGCCTGGAAATTCAAGCGTCCTGTATCGCAAAACAAAGAACCCTTTTGAACCGAAAATGTGTTTGTAGAAAGGTTTTTAAGGTGCTCTAATATCACATGAAAGTAGAAACTCAGAAGAAGCGATAGTTTCTTAGTTGGAATTTTGGTGACGTCAAGTGAAAACCAAGAATAAGGTTTTTTCAACCAAGTTGTTACCTCATGCACTAGAATTAATCAAAGGCCTATTTTCTTTGCTTGTTTGTTCGTTTTATTTGGCCATTTGTAGTCTCTGTATATTTGTGAATCTGCTTCAGTTGTTTATATAGTTGTTAAGTTTAACGTCATGCAACTTAGACACAAAATCACGATTTCTCGTTGGTATAATTGTGACTTAAAACATTGCCTCTGAGGCACGATCTACCAACTAAAAAACATCCGTCCTAAACTTCCATTCTTCCCCAATGTCTCTGTAAAGTTTTATCTAAATCGCCTCTAAAAAAGCCGAGATATAAGCATACTTTAAAAGATGCAGCACAAGCAAAATTTCGCCTTATTTAAAGAATTTACTCGTCCCTCCGCGGCCATAAGACTGCTTCGGCACTTGCCTGATTCTATGACACACTTAGCAGTTTTGCCCTTACTAAAAAGTTTGGCAGTGCCTACATTTCAACAGGATGCGCATAAAAGGTCGATACAATAAAATTTATATTTAAAAAAGTGGTATTTGCATAGAAATTTTATTGGTGTTACCGTTTGCTTCGTCTGAGCGATATATCTCCAAATATGAACTGGATTCTATTTTCTTATATCTGCGGTATATTGTCATCCTTTCGCCCGAAAAGCCTACGTGATATTTTGAGCGGGGAGTATAAAACAACCACCTACGTGACTGACAAGCGACGCGAGCGTCGTAAACGCAGTTGAACGCCACGGAAGAGAGAAAGCTCTCCTTGCAGGGTAGGCTCCATGGCGAAAGTCCTGTATAAAATTCCCTTTGATTCTTAACTTCGCTTATGTTTAAAATAAAATACACGTACTTCTGTAGCCAATAAAAATGAATAAAAACAAAAAAGAGAACTAGCACTTCATTGTAATTAGTATTTTGCGCCAAAACATGTGGCCGAAAGAAGGTTAAAATTAACCTAGAAATCGCTGTTAAAGGCCATTGCAGTGTTTCTCAAAAGTAAATGATTCTTGACACTCTTTATTGCTGAGAGCTAGGAGCCGGGTGTAATGCTTGAGAACGCTTCGGTTGAGATATATTTACCATCTTACGTAAAATTTGAAACAAAATGTATTTTTGCAACTTTCTTGGGGAGCACAAAAAGGTTACTGAAAGGTTACGATCGCTTCAATTTTCGAAATTTTACCGGTGGACTACAATAGTGTATGAAAGAAAGGTGTGAAACCAGGTGTAAAAGTGGAGTAAAGTCATCCGGAATTTCTCGGCAAGAGGAGATGAAGTTCGTATTTGCCTTTGCCTGTCAGGTGATCCGGAATTTCA